GATTATTTTTGACCTTCGTTTGGGCCCCACCCTTGTATATCGGGTATATATTTGCTGTCTTCAAGTCGGATAGCAGTCTTCCTAATTCTGAGAGCCCGCTTGCCAATTGTCTAAAGAATTTGCCGGTATATTTTCTGGACTGGGTAACTTTGCTTACTTGAGGCTTTGCAGCTCTCGTTCAAATGCAGGTGTTGGGATCTAGACTATCCCCAAGTTTCCGCAAAAATTCATGTGAATGTCCACGCGACGGGAATTGAACAGTGTACAGTGAGCATCCAGTTGAAGACAGAGCTCGCGACCATACATAAGGGCTAATGTGGTATGACCCGCTGATGAGTGGGTGGTGAACCGGTACACAAGGAGGCAATGACGTAAGGCGACATCCCTAGAAGACACGGGACGCTGTTCACGAAGGATTGTTTTAATCCTAAGAGTGTTTCGTTCGTGCGCTTGACCTGCCTATTGTAAATGCGAGGAAGCTCACATACTTCTTCCGTTAGCCGAGACATAAACTGAACATCCCATCTGAATGGAGCTGCTCAGGAACGCCATATCTGCTGATCCTTTTCTAAGGATGGTATTCGCAACAGTGATATCGGACGGTGGGACAAGCACTGCTTCGCACCACTGAGTGAAAAGGTCCACTAAGACGAGTATATCGATTTCCGAGGTAGAGAGGAAGCATAGTAGTTATCAATTCCACAATGATGGTTACGTTATTATAGCCTGCGGATGTGTTGCATTAGCCGCCGTTGATATTCACAACCAAAACATTGCCGCGCAGCAATTTCGTGTGTGTCTAGCCGGCGTGACCCACTTTAGTGTAGAGGCGAGAAAGTGTGGAAGGAATAGCATAATGAGCTAAATCTAATCCAAGGGTCGCTAGCGGAATATTAAAGAAAGAGCACTTCTTCTTAAGACGAAGTCTGTTCCACTCCGAGCAAAGGCAGTGAGTTTTCTACCCAGGGCCCTTCATCTCACCACTCGAGGGTTTCAATGCCTCATGGCGTGCACGATCATAAATTACAGATATATGGGTCCGCAGCTTCAGCCAATGTCCACTGTGAGTGATCAGGAATGCCAATCGTAATGGCAAATGCTGGGACGCCTGCGTCCGGTGCGGTGGCGTATGTGTCCGAA